TGCCGTGTCTTAATGGAGAGTTGAACTGTCCGGTGGAGGGGGGTGCTTATTCAGGCCATAAGGGCCGGACAGTGCTTGCAAAAGAAGTCCATGTACACTCCTCCTGAAACTTTAATCTATGTTGCATCTGTGCCGCAGATGTGTGAAAGTGCTAATAGAACTAGAGTCCTTGCAAGGGAGGGAGAGAGAAGACTGTGTTTTAGAGCTTCCCACTGTGCAAGTATGGTTCAATAAGGTTTGTATTCAAACACACAGAATTGTAGTACTTTGTGTGGATAACCCCCCACACACACGCACACTCCACCATCCCAGATTACTACGCAGGTCCTGCTAATAGACTGTTGTTACCTAATGACATGATGAGGGTTAGGCCTTCAGAAAGCACTAACAGGTTGCACCACTGATGGAGTGTAACTACTAATAGGACATCATAGTAGACAGAAATTTTATTGAACAAAATTTTTGCATTTACCTACAATATAAGTAAAACCATACACGCACACAGAATAGCTAAGATGAAAACCTGGCCACTGCATTCTTCCATTCAGCATCTGTCTGATAAGTACTTGAGGCCAAGCAGGACCGACACTACCTAGGCAAAATAGGAAGCCACCTACGGTGCACTGCCACCTAGGGCGCAGCCACAGCCGCTGGTTTCCCTACTTTCCTGCTTGCTGGGAATTGTATCACATAGTGTTTTTTACATCTGGTTTTATGTTCACTTTGCTTTTTTTCTACTTTATTGTTGCAAAAAATGCTGGTATCTGTAGTCTGCTTAGCCACTGCTGTGCCCATAGGTCAGTGATGGCGAACCCGTGGCACGTGTGCCACAGCCGGCACGCCAAGCCTTATCTGTGGGCACGCCAGGAGAATCCAGCGGCGCGCTGTCTTCCCGGCTGTAGTGTGCGTGACAGCCGGGTCCCAAGTGCGCATGCACAAGAAGCAGTGCTCTTTGTGAATGGTAAGGCGGTACCTGGGACACATGACAGATCCCAGAAGCCGCCGGACCAATCACAAAGCGCAGCGCTTCTCGCGCATGCGCACTGGGCATCCGGCTGTCCGACGAGCGCCCACACTACAGAAGCCGGGAAGACAGCGCGCGGCTGGATAAAGGAACAGGTAAGATAAAAAAAAAAACTCTGCGGAAGTAAGAGCGGGTACCTGTCAAATTCAGGTACCCGCTCCCCATCCCTCCCAAAGGTCAGCAGTCATCTCTGTACTGTCCGCAGTCTGGTCATCCCTGTGCTGTCCGCAGTCTCTGGTCATCCCTGTGCTGTCCACAGTCTCTGGTCATCCCTGTGCTGTCCGCAGTCTCTGGTCATCCCTGTGCTGTCCGCAGTCTCTGGTCATCCCTGTGCTGTCCGCAGTCTCTGGTCATCCCTGTACTGTGTCCGCAGTCTCTGGTCATCTCCTGTACTGTGTCCGCAGTCTCTGGTCATCCCTGTACTGTCCGCAGTCTCTGGTCATCCCTGTACTGTGTCCGCAGTCTCTGGTCATCCCTGTACTGTGTCCGCAGTCTCTGGTCATCTCCTGTACTGTCCGCAGTCTCTGGTCATCTCCTGTACTGTTCGCAGTCTCTGGTCATCTCCTGTACTGTGTCCGCAGTCTCTGGTCATCTCCTGTACTGTGTCTCTGGTCATCTCTTGTACTGTGTCCGCAGTCTCTGGTCATCTCCTGTACTGTGTCCGCAGTCTCTGGTCATCTCCTGTACTGTCCACAGTCTCTGGTCATCCCTGTACTGTCCGCAGTCTCTGGTCATCCCTGTACTGTGTCCGCAGTCTCTGGTCATCCCTGTACTGTGTCCGCAGTCTCTGGTCATCTCCTGTACTGTGTCTGCAGTCTCTGGGCATCCCTGTACTGTCCGCAGTCTCTGGTCATCTCCTGTACTGTGTCCGCAGTCTCTGGTCATCCCTGTACTGTGTCCGCAGTCTCTGGTCATCCCTGTACTGTCCGCAGTCTCTGGTCATCCCTGTACTGTGTCTGCAGTCTCTGGTCATCCCTGTACTGTGTCCGCAGTCTCTGGTCATCCCTGTACTGTCCGCAGTCTCTGGTCATCCCTGTACTGTGTCCGCAGTCTCTGGTCATCTCCTGTACTGTGTCGCAGTCTCTGGTCATCTCCTGTACTGTGTCCGCAGTCTCTGGTCATCTCCTGTACTGTGTCGCAGTCTCTGGTCATCTCCTGTACTGTGTCCGCAGTCTCTGGTCATCCCTGTACTGTGTCCGCAGTCTCTGGTCATCCCTGTACTGTGTCCGCAGTCTCTGGTCATCCCTGTACTGTGTCCGCAGTCTCTGGTCATCCCTGTACTGTGTCCGCAGTCTCTGGTCATCTCCTGTACTGTGTCTGCAGTCTCTGGTCATCCCTGTACTGTGTCTCAGTCTCTGGTCTCCCTGTATCCGCAGTCTCTGTTCATCCCTGTTCTGTCCGCAGTCTCTGGTCATCCTGTACTGTTCGCAGTCTCTGGTCATCCCTGTACTGTGTCTGCAGTCTCTGGTCATCCTGTACTGTGTCCACAGTCTCTGGTCATCTCCTGTACTGTCCGCAGTCTCTGGTCATCCCTGTACTGTGTCCGCAGTCTCTGGTCATCCCTGTACTGTGTCCGCAGTCTCTGGTCATCCCTGTACTGTCCGTCCGCAGTCTCTGGTTATCTCCCTGTACTGTGTCCGCAGTCTCTGGTCATCCCTGTACTGTGTCCGCAGTCTCTGGTCATCTCCTGTACTGTGTCCGCAGTCTCTGGTCATCCCTGTACTGTGTCCGCAGTCTCTGGTCATCCCTGTACTGTCCGCAGTCTCTGGTCATCTCCTGTACTGTGTCTGCAGTCTCTGGTCATCCCTGTACTGTGTCCGCAGTCTCTGGTCATCCCTGTACTGTCCGCAGTCTCTGGTCATCTCCCTGTACTGTGTCCGCAGTCTCTGGTCATCCCTGTACTGTGTCCGCAGTCTCTGGTCATCCCTGTACTGTGTCCGCAGTCTCTGGTCATCCCTGTACTGTGTCCGCAGTCTCTGGTCATCCCTGTACTGTCCACAGTCTCTGGTCATCCCTGTACTGTGTCCGCAGTCTCTGGTCATCCCTGTACTGTGTCCGCAGTCTCTGGTCATCCCTGTACTGTGTCCGCAGTCTCTGGTCATCCCTGTACTGTGTCCGCAGTCTCTGGTCATCCCTGTACTGTCCACAGTCTCTGGTCATCCCTGTACTGTGTCCGCAGTCTCTGGTCATCCCTGTACTGTGTCCGCAGTCTCTGGTCATCCCTGTACTCTTAATTAGTTTGCACTACTGTACGAGTTGTTTTTTCTAAACCAAAAGCTCGATATTCAGGTTTCATTGCAGTGTTGGCACTTTGAAAGAAATAAGTTGGTTTTGGGTTGCAGTTTGGGCACTCGGGCTCAAAAAGGTTCGCCATCACTGCCATAGGTAGTGGGATACAGCAGAGTGCTTCCAGGCCTCTAGAAGGAGCAAAGAGCTCCAAGCACATAGCCTGTCCTCCAAGATCTTCCCCCTATGACATCACATCTGCCTCTTCTGCATTCCAAGCCAGCTCAGGCACTTTTGGTTGTCCGGTGGCATCCTGACATTTCTCCATCTCTTCATCCATGGCTTCAGACCCACACGGGCTGATCTTTAGGTCGGGAAGGACTGATGGTGGCCATTATCAATGATAAGCGACATTTTATTTCTTTCTTTTGAGTGTTTAACACCGCTTGCTTATTAATTTGGACTTTTAATACTGCACTTAGTGGCGTCTCCCCCTGTCTGCTACTTGTCTTCCAGATACAGAGTTATCATACTCTGACGATGGCTGCTGCTGATGTTGCTGGTTTTTAATGGAGTTATGCAAGAATTTTTGAAGTTTTATTTTTTTTTTGGGGGGGGGGGGGGGGTGCAAGTAGCTGATCTTGCCTAGGGCGCAAAATAATCCAGCACTGGCCCTGGGACAAAGCTGGCTAAGGTTGCCCTATCTTTTTAAAGCCTAACTCCAGCTTAAACCTTTTTTTAGTTCCAAATAAAGTGTGGGAAGGTCAGAACCTTTGTCAACTTTGTATTGCTGTCAGTCTATTTGGAAGCATTTTCTTTATTTCCCGTCTATTTGACAGGTGTAAGGGCTCATGTACACAGGGCATTTGGAAAACTCTTCTGACCGCTGGAAACTGACTGCTAGAAAATGTAGGTTAAAAAACTTTGGTTTAATTGCATTTGCATACTGCGTTTATGCGCGTTTAGCTGCGTTTATGCATGTTTGCATTTAGAAGCATTTTTAAAAGATAACTTCAGGAGACACACCCAAAGGCCCAAAATGCAAAAAACAGTAAATAATTAACTATTTCAGACATTTTGATAGACATTGAGAGAGCAGAAGCAGAGAGAGAGCAGTATGTGTTGAGATGACCTGTCTTTTCTGGTTGTATTCACTATGGATCCCATCATGAGCATAATGCAGCACATTCTACCATTTTTTCCTTCACACGAGACCTGGAACTGACTGCGTTGGTATATTAGATCCATTTGAATACATGGAAAACACATTGCATGCATTTTTGATGAAGAAAAAAGGCCCTGGACAGCATCTGAATATGGACCTGTCAAAAACCGCATCTAAATGCAAACGTTTGTAAACGTGGTTAACCGTGCTTAAAGTGTTTGGCGTTTGAAACGCCGGTAAAATCTACTCCTGATCACAATTTTGGTGCGTTCAAGAAAAACGAGTGTAAACTCAACTGCCTGTAAACGACTGTAAACAACTATGTGCACATGGACACATAGGAAAACATTAAGGAGAGTTCAGGGGCTGCTGAAAAAACAGTTCAACAGCTCCTGAACGTCAGTGTAACGGAAGCGTAGGCAGGACAGAGCACACGGAGAAGACGGGGAACACACAAAACTTTATTGAAGCAACAAAATGACAGACACTCAATGGGGAAATGGCAGGGAGGGTGATGTGTGCGCAAACCAGGGACGATTTCAGGCATGGGGGGTCTTCAGCGACAGGCAGGCAATCTCCCCCCTAGGCTTGGGGCCTCAGCCGAGCTCCCTCCGTGACTGGACAGCGGACTGGAGACTCGGGCAACAGGCGGCAACCTACCACTAGGCAGGGACCTCGGGCAACAGGCGGCAATCTACCCCTGGGCAGGGGTCTTGGGCAACAGGTGGCAACCTACCACTGGGCAAGGGCCTCGGGCAACAGGTGGCAATCTACCCCTGGGCAGGGGTCTTGGGCAACAGGTGGCAACCTACCACTGGGCAGGGGCCTCGGGCAACAGGCGGCAACCTACCACTGGGCAGGGGCCTCAGGCAACAGGCGGCAATCTACCCCTGGGCATTGGCTCGGGCAACAGGCGGCAACCTACCACTGGGCAGGGGCCTCGGGCAACAGGCGGCAACCTACCACTGGGCAGGGGCCTCGGGCAACAGGCGGCAACCTACCACTGGGCAGGGGCCTCGGGCAACAGGGGGAAATCTACCCCTGGGCAGGGGTCTCAGGCAACAGGCGGCAACCTACCACTGGGCAGGGGCCTTGGGCAACAGGCAGCAACCTACCTCTGGGCAGGGGTAGATTTGCCGCCTGTTGCCCGAGACCCCTGCCCAGGGGTAGATTGCCGCCTGTTGCCCGGGGTCCCTGCCTAGTGGTAGGTTGCCACCTGTTGCCCTCCAATCCACTGTCCAGTCACGGAGGGAGCTCGGCTGAGGCCCCAAGCCTAAGAGGGAGATTGCCTGCCTGTCGCTGAAGACCCCCGTGCCTGGAATCGTCCCTGGTTTGCGCACACATCACCCTCCCTGCCATTTCCCCATTGAGTGTCTGTCATTTTGTTGCTTCAATAAAGTTTTGTGTGTTCCCCATCTTCTCCGTGTGCTCTGTCCTGCCTACGCTTCCGTTACACTGGTGGCAGCGGTGGGATAGTCTCTCCCCCTTCTGTGGGGCCTCTCACAATCGCAGGCAGGCTTTCTCTGGTTGTCTCTTCCCTCCTGTGGGGTCTCTGTGAGGCTGGGAGTAGACTTGCAGAGTCTAGTCACAAAGGTCTCGCCGGAGCTAGAGATCCTTTGATGACTGCCCAACGGAATGAAAACAAAGCTCCCAGCATCAGCCTCTTAAACTGCTGCAGGACGCTCCCCGGTCACCTTGGCAACCGGGAGGGGGGAAAGCAATACTAGACCTCAGGGAGAATCAGGCTGGTGACAGGGACATCCTGGGGAGCAGGGATGATATCTGCATAGATGAAAAGCAAGTTGGGAGGTGTGCGAGAGAGCTCCCAGCCAGCTGGCCGGTAGGGAGGGGGGCCCAGAGTAATTTGATTAGGCCATTGAATTAGCCATTTGGCTGAGTGACACAGGGGACAATTGGAACAATACAGAGCAGGACGCTGAGGGCATGTGATACAAGGCATTAATAAGGGTATTAATAATTGGCAGGCTCCTATACCGTTACAGTCAGTTTAGCAGCTGCAGTGTACATGAGCCCTAAGATAGAAAAGGAGATTAGCGAAAATCTCCCTACTTCCTGTATATTTGACAGGTGTTATACAGAAAAAGATGTGAGATAAAATACCTAGTGCAGACATCAGCACCACTCTCTTCATTAATACACTGAGAATAAAGGGTTACATGATACTTTGAAATCAAAACTGAAAACAAAGAACTGCAGAGGACAGCTCAGGACTGAAGATGAGTTTTGCAGCAAGAACTTTTTTATGTGTTTTAAACTTGAAGGGAAATCATATAAAACATAATTTAGCCTGGTGTCAAGCTTTAACAAGTAGTCAAACGATTAAGTAGGAGCAGTGATACAGAGTCTTGAGTGTTGTCAACTTCCTTATGGTAGACAGTCATATAACACAGCGGGGTTGATTATTTCACAGTAGTATTTATATTACCTTAGTTTCCATATATTTACATTTAAACTGTGAATTTAACTGTTTGGCTGGCTGACTTTTACAATTCCCTGAATTCTACTGAGATGAAAATACATTAGCAATCTCTCATCCTGTCACCTCGCCACCAGAAATACACCTTGCCAAGTGAATAGTAATTTTAGTAACAAGCTTCTTGCAAATTCATGTCACAAATGTACAGGAAATCAATTTGGTCATGGGACTGGAAATACAATATTAAGCAGACATACCCAACGGGGGAAATTCAGAAGGAATTTATTTAAATTCACTGAAATCTTTTTCACGCTCAGTCTATAAATGTAGCAATATTCTAACTTCGATCTGCCATATAGTGAATGTATGGTGGTTTTGTACTTTCTATTATTTCTTTGTTGTGGTCAGGACTAAAGAAATAACATTTTAAAAAAATGTTTTGTTATTCATTTTAAGTTATTCATTTTAGTTCCGGGGCCTCTCTTAATTCCCTTGAGTCCCACAGCATCTTTTTGTTTTGGTGATGTCTCAATTCCACAAAATATCTTTTATCTTTTGTAGTATACCTAACAGGAGACGTCTGAGGTTTTTTAAAAAAGTAATAAACATTTATGTTCACCTCCATGCTGCAGAGCATCATGGAGGTGAACATTCAAATTTTTCCGGTTCTGGCTAGACGCCATCTTCTTACACCCATCGTCTCTCAAGTACACCCATAGCATATGGGAAACCGCTGATCTGTACCTGAAATCATGTGAGTGTGCATTTTTTGGCGTTTTTGGATATTATATTAAACAGCATCACACTATGGAGGTCTTCTTTGTGTATCCTTGTATGGCCTTGGTATTCACCGCATATAGGTGAGCCTAACCATGCTGAGCATTACCTGAGAGGAGTAGGAGCATTGTCAGTGGAGTATATGTGGAGCCATTGAAGCCAGAGGAGCCAGGTGGTAGAGATCCTCTCTGGAGTGGAATTTCCTAATACCCAAATGAGCAGTGGCCCCTAGGGGTCGAATTAAGGAGGTGAGGAGGCACTCTAGCCATTTGAGGATACATACACTAGAGTGTCACCTGAGCACATATCAAGAGTGGAGTAGAAAAGTGAAACACTTTTTGCACATTATATATTGTTTGCACATATTGGCTTACACTTATTGTGGACTTTATTGTGGATATATTTTATCTTTTCTAATTTTGAGCACTGGTCACTTCGTGTGATATAATGGAGTGACACCACACTATTGGTCGGGCCAGCTGATAGGTTGGCGTATCAGATTATTTATGAGCATTTGCACATTATCACAATCGGGGATTATTACACTTCAACATTGTATATATATGCATTGATTACTTGTCCATTTTGTATCATTTAACATTTTTTTCTGCACTTTATGCTTTCCTGCACTTGTATATATTGCATTCACATTATATTTATATATGTGGCACAGAGTCTATAGTATTGCACATTATACTTTAGTGTATATTTATATATTTTTGCGATCACACTTAATTATGATTTTAAGCATAGCGTTTCACCATTATTGATTTTCAAGCTGAAATTTACACTGTAAATTAGTATGAACATTGCCTCTGTCTCTTTCTTATAGTCTATCAGTATTATCAGTGACAGACAGGGTGTATGAAAGGTGATACTGTCTATTCTGCTGTCTGTAATAAATTCATAGTGCTCTAAGACTCCTGTGTCATGAGTGGAGCCTTTATTTAAAGCAGAAGGAAAATATAATTGGACAACATTTAAACATTTACTATGTACACTTGAAGACTTAATCTAATCTTCGGAACAAGTTATGTTAGAGTCTGTTCTTGAAACAGTGGACTTCAGCTTTACATATTAGTAGTAGTAATGGCAACTCTCTTTCTTAGAGCCCTAGTGCAGTGTCCCTGTAAGAAGGAGGACAGATGGACAAAGCTCTTTGGAACAGCCGGTGTTCCCTTTACAAGCATGTAAAAGTGCAGGACGGTGTTCCCTTTACTAGACTTGCAGCTGACTTCCTAGCACCAGAGGGGAGAAGGGGAGTTAAGCAGCACACAGTCTCTAAGATCCTTTATGGGTGTCTGTACTCATAAGGCCCAAGAGCAGCTGGATGCCTTCCTCCATGATACCATACGAGATCTTTAGTACACAGTCCCTCAGTCACCTTAGTAGAGCCCCAGGTCTCAGCATTCAGGCCATAAGGTCACTCAAATATACTGAATGGGGAAAGAACAAAAAGAGGGCGCACAGGCCTAGTGCATTACCATAAAAAATGTTTAATAAAAAATAAAGTAGGTGTTGTACTCACAAACGACAATATAGTCAAGGCACATCATAAAAGAACAGCTGGATCAACACCGCGCTGAGTAACAGTCTGCAATAGGGAGTTTAAACATCCAAAAGGCTGACGCGTTTCGAGGACTTGCCTCTTCCTCAGAGGGCTCTGAGGAAGGCAAGTCCTCGAAACGCGTCAGCCTTTTGGATGTTTAAACTCCCTATTGCGGACTGTTACTCAGCGCGGTGTTGATCCAGCTGTTCTTTTATGATGTGCCTTGACTATATTGTCGTTTGTGAGTAAAACACCTACTTTATTTTTTATTAAACATTTTTTATGGTAATGCACTAGGCCTGTGCGCCCTCTTTTTGTTCTTTCCCAATTCAGTATATTTGGATTCCCCCGGTCCATTTGAGGGCAGCAAGGTGTGCATGTTCCAGGACATTCTTAATGTGGTTGTAGCATCGAGTCCATCCCCAAGCGCAGGAGCATTTGTGTTTGTGTTTGCGGGTTCATAAGGTCACTCACCTGGTGCCGCACAGCAGGAGTTCCCTGGGATGGCAACGTGTCCTCTCCAAGGATGGACCAATCCTGGACAGGAAAAGAACCTGAGTTCATTGCTCTCACTGAATATTTACAGGTACTCAGCATGTCATCGGAGCCAGTCTTTCTGGGATTGGCTGGAGCTGCATCAATATTCATGTTTCCATCTGCATAGCTCCGCACCTATGATCTAGAACAGCGGACACTAAATGGCGGCCCCAGCAGCGCTGCCACCCAGACCGCCAGCCAACAATGACAGATCCGCCACTGAGCAGGGTGACATGACATCACGTGTATGCCCCACCCCTTTCAGCTCACTGTCTCTCCGACTCCCGCTCCCTGCCTGTGCACAAGCGTCCAGAAATGATCCCGGCACAGCTCCTGTCTGCCCTCAAGGTAGGGTGTGGTCTTACAGGGGCACTCTGATGGGCACATTGAATGTTAAGGAGTTCTCTGATGAGAACAACATAGAATGTGCCC